GAGGCTAGGACCCTCTATGTCGGGTGCATTAGATACCGCGACAATGTGGAGCCCTACAATCCTCTACGGTTTTTGCGTCAGTTGGGCTACGTCCAGCGTATCCCTCCCGGCATCCGTCGGCCATCCACTGTAGTACGGTGTTGGGAGTCTAGGTACTACAAGGTCGAGCACTCTGCAGCTGTCGGCCGTCAAAACCTGGCTGCCTACACCCCACCACAGTTACACCAGGGGAGGTCGAGCCGGCGTACTCTGAGTGGTTTGCTCGGGTTTCTCGTCCGAAGCTGTTGGGTGGCGATCCGATGGAGCCTCCCCCAGTCCCTTCGCGCGTCGATGCCTCTTATGTAAGTTGTTTACTTAATTTTTGTTCTCAATGTGTGCTTTTATTATAATATTTATTTATTGTAACTCTTCGCTTTGTGGATAGTGGCTCAAACGTTACGACGACGTCCACTCAGTGTACATGTCGCGGGTCGAGCGCGTTGATCCTCATTTGGTGAAGGAGTACAAAGACGCTCTGTTCATAGTTAAGGCGGATTGGGAGAGAGCAACACGGCGTTGATGTTTGATGTAAATAATGTTGTGTTTTTTTTTATTTACTATACACTCGACTTTTGGTTGAATTGTTTTTTTTTTATTTACTGTATGCTCAACTTTTGGTTGAATTGTTTTTTTTATATATGTCGTTACTCATTCACACTATGTTTTTATATTTCTGATATGCTATACTATATTATAATTAAAAAACACATCACAATCAACGTATACGTACTCAAAATCGAAGTCAATGACATTCATAAGTTCAAACTAACGTATAATGACAACCGAATATTATAAGAATATCAAAACCTAGGTGCATCACGAATCCTAATCCACACAACTGGTCTATTGTTACAGTAATTCTCCCAACCGACAACCGACTGATCTCGAAGTACCGTCCAATAAGGGTATATAGGCGGTATTGGATGGCCGGGAGTCAAATTAACACGAATGTAGTGTGGGTAAAAACCAAGATGACACAAGAAGATCTCGCGCTCCGGTCGTGTAGCCGTCGATGGTGTGACGAGCGGCAGTATAGTAGCACTAAAAAAGCTGGGATCGTTACCATGCTCACCCATGCCTAACATGACGACAACTGCATTAAAAAATATGGCAACGGGAAAGAGGTCGCACATAGTTTCCATCCAGTGATTCTGGCCACAAGGGCCCCCGTCCCATCAAAGTAGACGGGCTCGTACCTCTGAATGTTCCCCGCAATATCATTTGCAATAATTTGTCTTGCCAACCGGTACTTCTCCTGATCACCAAAAATATAGCTCGCAATTACCCGAAATCTGCAGTTCCCATCATCGGACACATCCAAGTAGCTCTCTACATAGTCGTGCACAATGTAGGGAATGCTATTCCAATCCCGGTAATTGAAGAAGTCTGTCGAGAACGTCTCTATAATATCACAAACATTTCACGTCAGAATATAAATAATCGAATTTATGTACATAATTAGATGAAGTGATTAAAACACAAAAAAATAAATTAGAATGTAACTTGTCGGTCCTTCTGAACGCTGAGAAGACGAGCTTGTCGGTGCTTGTGACGAAGTGCTTCTACGGCCCACCAGACGACCTCTTTTCGTACTCCCAGACACACGGATCACGCTTCGTTGAATTTCTCTTTTTCGGTCGACCTCGCGTGTTTTCCTTCACTTCAGGTTCTCTATAACCTTGTTGGTCAGGGTGAAGTTGAGAGTAGATGTACTGATTCAGATGACGCACGGTCGCAGGATTGGCCATTTCGACCTCATCTGCAAGGCTCAAAAAATACGACAGTCTGTCCACCCAACCGTCGATGGCCATGCACCACTCGTGGATGGTCGTGCACCACTCGTGGATGGTCGTGCACTACTCGTGGATGGCCGTGCACTACTCTGGTAATCTGTTCGTATAACCAAATTTAAAGCATTAAACATCATAATCTATATATAAATTATATAAAGAAAAAAAAAACGTGAAGTATAAAAAAATAAAAGAAAAAAATAAAAGCATTCAATTCAATATCGCAATTATACCTGACACCCAAGTGTTATTCAGAACATGTGAATGTCATCCGTGATAATCATGGCATTAACAATGCACGCCATACTCATGTAACAAGCACAAGGATGTCCATGTGTCCATCTGAGTACGCACCGATAGCGCATCGTAACCTCATCGCTCAAGTCTCGCATCCTCTTATACTCTTCGTTCAATAACTCCAAACAATAATGCGAGACCCTCAGTGTTAGCTGCGAGAACGGAAATCCGGTGTAATGGTAACTTCGTCTGGTCCTTGACTCCTCCAGCGTAGTCTTGATAATAGATTGCATGAGTGAATTTATAATTAATACATTAATAGCACAGTAAATATGTGTAGCTTAATAATAACGTACTTGATTTGAGTGTGTTTGGACTCAATCTTCTTGTGAGACTTCTCCCACACTTTGTCGAGCGAACTGGTCGACGTGTTAAGCCACTACTTCAACACATTGTGGGAAATCTCCACCCTACACGGCATGGTGTTACCTAAATGCAGGAAGTGGTTCGTCCACGCTTTGACAAATTTTTCCTTGTGGACTAACCACGTCTGCTCTATATACTGTGTAACAAGAGGGAACACCTTGTACCGATGCTGCATGTCCTTCACGGCAGAGTCGTACTCGACCACCGTGCTCGCTTCCAGGATCTTCTTCTACCTGCCGCGCGTGAACTTCTCGGAAAATTCTTTATTATTCTGGGTGAGTTTATAGACCTTGTGTTCCACATCCTTGTTGATGTGCCACGTGAAAAGAAGGTGGACAGACGTTGGAAAATTAATCATAATAGGATTAATCAACCCCAACTCCCTGTCACTGACAATGACTGAAGGATGTACATTAGGCCCAATCAGATCTCTCAACCGCTTTAGAACCCAGTCATAGCTGTTCTGGCTCTAGTCCTTCAGAATTGCATATGCAATCAAGAAGTTCTTGTTGCACGGCGTCATCCCTATTATTTCCACCAACGGCATCTTGTACCTGTGCAAATGAGGGCAACAAAATCAAACAAAGAATAAAAAATCGTACCTACTCAGACATAATGATTAAAATTTGTACTAAATTGTTATTTATAAAGTAACATACTTGTTGGTTTTGTACGTCGAATCTATACCGACGTACCAATAATAGGTCTGAAAGAGAAGGGCTGCCTGGGGATACGACATGAACACACGTGTCAAGGTGTGTGTGTGTCCTTATCAGAATCGGTGAAAACTATGTAATTAGCCTGGCTAGCCAAATGCATAAGCTGGGAATTCACTCTCTGCCCTCCATACTCTCTGATCGAAGTTGAGCCCTATAGTTGTAAACTTGTTGACGAGTCGCGTTGTCAGACGGGTTTTTATCCTGTATCGCTGCCAATATTACTGCCGGTCTTGCCTGGGCACCTGTCATGTCACGGACGATCTGCCTCGACGAATCACCCAGTCCACTGAACTGTCGATGACCCTCAGGATACAAAGTCATCGGATGATTATGGTATCCCTTATGATCCTCCTGAGGAAAACATACAATCCATGAATCTTTCGTACCAGCCATTTTTTTCAATCTCATCTTAAACAGGAATCCAGTATATTTTGTTTTCGAACGTCTCAGGACAACATTAACAACATTGAATATTTTACCTCAATAACTTTCCCCTCGGTTACACTTCAAAATCCTCAATGTTTCTCCCTTTGTGTGCTTTGAAATAATTAGTTCAAAACCACAGATAGTTGCCATACCTGTTGCATAATCAACAACTTCTATAAGACTATCAAATATCTCATTTGTTCTGAAATAAGGCTAATAATCAATATTGTCTCCTCCACAAAATCCTCAACTGGGCGCCTGCAATATATTACAATGTATGTTCTCAATTTTAAAACATAATCAATTAGAAGTAACTATTAAAAATAATAATTTATATTAATAATATAATATAAATTAATAATAATTTATATTACTAACTATACATTAATAATATATATTATTAATATATATATAACAATATATTCTAAAAAATATTATTATTTTAATAATAATATATATATGACTAAAATATTAATAATATATAATATATGACTAATATTATTAATAATTAATAATATATGACTAATATATTATTATATTAATATATAAATAATATTAAATATAATAAAAAAAAATGCGTCGGCCGGCCGTAAAAGGTCTGACCGCTCCTCATTGCCGGCCAAAAATGGACCGGCCGACCCGAGTCAAGTCGGCCGGACCAGATCAAAGCCGGCCGGTCTGGTCGGCCAAACATGAACCGGCAACAACAAGCGGCCAACCAGAGCAAAGCCGGCCGGCCGCCGCGAAAAAACCGACGTACCTTTTTCGCCGCCATCTTAGTCGTCGGAGTTGGTCGGAATTTTTTTCGGAATTTTTCGAAGTCCAGAACCGGGAGAAAGAATGTAGAATTTGAAAAATGAATTTGTTTTTTCTTTTTAGTATAAAGGGTAAATTCGACTTTTTAAGGGTGGTATTTAGTAATAAAGGGGTGGTATTTAACAAACACCCATACTTAATGCCTTCGTAAAATAGAAATGTTTATACCCAATTATCTTAAGCAACTCACGTAAAGTCCAACCCAAGCTTTCGCAATATTTTTATTGAGAGGGGCATTTCTGACACTAAAAATATCTCTCTCTCTCTCTCTCTCTCTCTCTCTACACCTCAATGACGAGATGGGAGTGGGTCCCGTAAAAGAGCTGGCACAAAATGGCGGGGCCCATTCGGACTCCATCCCATTTATCAATTCCCATTTTCTGCTCTCCCATACGCCCACAAAAATATCTCATCATTATATACATACATACACAGATACACACAGTAACATCCATCCCCATACCGCCATCGCCACGACCTCCATTCCCATACCAGGAGAAAACGATTCATTCCTTCGGTTCATACTTTTCAGTTTCTACGGATAAAAATGAGAGAGATAATCAGCATACACATCGGGCAGGCGGGGATTCAGGTCGGAAACTCCTGCTGGGAGCTCTATTGCCTTGAGCATGGCATTCAGCCCGATGGCATGATGCCCAGGTATCTTATTTCTCTCTTTCCCCTTTTTTCCCCCTTTTGTTTTTGCCAATTATCAGTCAGCATTCGTTTCTACGTTTGCAATTTCACTGGGATTTAGCATGTAAGAAAGATCGAGTCTGTTTGATGTTTTTTCCCCGTGTGTGTGATGGGTGTGAGATAGTTCAATTGTTGATGAACATGAAAGCTGATCTGAGTTGTCTGTTACAATGCTTTACTTTATCTGCAGTGATTCTACAATTGGTGTGGAGCATGATGCTTTCAACACCTTCTTCAGTGAAACCGGTTCAGGAAAGCATGTCCCTAGAGCTATATTTGTTGATCTTGAACCCACTGTTATTGATGAAGTTAGGACGGGGGATTACCGCCAGCTTTTCCACCCGGAACAACTCATCTCCGGGAAGGAGGATGCTGCCAACAATTTCGCAAGAGGACACTATACTGGTTAATATCCATATTGTTTTCAGATTCAGAGTTTCTTCTTTCATAATTGCATGAACTCTAGAGAATTAAAAAAAAGAAAGATAGAAATCAGTACACTTGCTTTGCTGTTTACAGCTGAAATGTAGTCATCCATTGGGTGCTAATCAATCCTAGTGAAAGCTCATCTTATTGATTGTCTAGAATCATGAGAGTTGACATAAATTTATTCCTTTCTCAGTCCTGGATTCTGGGAGTTGTAATTAATGATCTTGTAGAATAATTAGATATCTTATTCATGCCACCCATGATTTGTTGGTTTGCTGATGTTTATTTATATAACTAGTTTAGTCATTAGTCAAGCGTTCTTACTATAATGTAGCTAGGTATATGGTGGGAGTTTTGAGGTTTATTTTTCCCCTTAATGCCCATTGAAGTCTTAGTGTTGTGCCAGTTTTATATTTGCAAGAACGACATTGTAGTGGTGCTCTTATTCACTGATGATAATTTTTCTTGCAGTTGGGAAAGAGATTGTGGATTTATGCCTTGACCGAGTTAGAAAGTTGGCTGATAACTGCACAGGATTGCAGGGTTTTCTGGTTTTCAATGCTGTAGGCGGTGGTACTGGTTCTGGATTGGGTTCATTGCTCTTGGAACGCTTGTCGGTTGACTATGGAAAGAAGTCAAAGCTTGGTTTTACAATCTATCCTTCACCCCAGGTGCTTAGAATTTCATTTACCCACAAATACACACTGCATGCTCTTAATTTGACTTTGCTTCCTAAAGATTGCATATTTTGATGGAATGAGCAGCACAGCACTTTCCTAAAAATAATTTTCAACTTATAATTTGTTAGTACATCTTTGTCTCTGTAGATAACCCTGACGCGAACTAATTATTACTCATGAGTTGAATACTTACCGTTGGATTATAAATTGTTTCTCTCAACTGCAGGTCTCGACAGCAGTTGTCGAGCCTTACAACAGTGTCCTCTCCACCCATTCTCTTCTTGAGCACACTGATGTAGCTGTTCTATTGGATAATGAAGCCATCTATGATATCTGCCGGAGATCCCTTGACATTGAGAGGCCCACATACACCAATTTGAATCGACTGATCTCCCAAATCATATCATCCTTGACTACCTCCCTAAGATTTGATGGGGCCATCAATGTGGATATTACTGAGTTCCAGACCAACCTCGTGCCTTATCCTCGCATCCACTTCATGTTGTCATCATATGCGCCTGTGATCTCAGCTGAGAAAGCATACCACGAGCAGCTTTCTGTCCCAGAGATCACTAATGCTGTTTTTGAGCCTTCGAGCATGATGGCCAAATGCGACCCTAGGCACGGGAAGTACATGGCTTGTTGCCTGATGTACCGTGGAGATGTTGTGCCCAAGGACGTCAACGCTGCTGTTGCTACCATCAAGACTAAACGTACAGTTCAGTTTGTTGACTGGTAAGTAACATTGCTTGACATGGCCAAATTTGAGCGATGAGAAGTGTGATTTTTATGCTGCAGTTTCTTTTCTTTATTTCTTTTCCAAAGTTCATGTTACAGTATCAATATTTTCTTTTTCCTTTTACAAATGGGAGTTTGCATTTTTTTTTTTTTTTTTTT